ACTCCAGTCTGGGCGACAGAGTGAGACTCCAACTCAAAAAAAAAAAACAAAAAAAAAAGAGCCCAAGAATACCTCAAGGCCACTAAAACTCAGAATAGCACCTGGGTTTTCTGACCCATGTAACCTCCATCTTCTCTCTGTAGCAGAAAAGAGGAACAAAGGAGTCCAATTTACAGCAAGTTCCTCAAAGCTCTGCCCCTTCCTAATGATTCTCTTCTTAGCCCTGCACTTACTGTTAGGGAAGTGGAATCGGATCTTTGCCCTAATAATTTTCAGAGAAAAGCGGGGTTCTAATGGCAAAGCAAAGCTTCCTGGCTAAGTATAAGTGACCCTTAAAAGCCTCCCTCCCTTCTCATAGAACTTAGGACGTTGGCGAGATGGTGGAGAGCTTACCTTCTGTGCAGCTGATATGACCGCTCTTTCCAGAAGATCCAAATTCCTATTCATTAGCACCAATGCTTCTTCACGAGACACTGGTGTCAGGGTGGCATCAGGCAGTATCACTGCATGCTCATAAACAGCTGCAAGAAACGTGTCCAGGGAGCTGGCTTTTAAGACACAGAACACCAAGATTGCCATATAAGCCAGCAACTGAGAAGCAACCATGCTGAAGTCCAAAGACTGCTGAAAAACAGAACACGTCTTGCTATTTATAGAGACAAAACACGTGGTTTCCAGAACTTAGTACCTTGGAAATCAATGGCAAAAGCTATTATTAAGAAAACCTTCTGACTTCTAAACAAAGGACCCTCCTTTATTATAGGGATTTGTGAGGATTAAATCAGAGAATACATGTATATTGGTTTGCTAGAGCTGCCTAATAAATTACCACACACTGAGCAATTTAAACAGCAAAGTCCATTACCTCAGCTCTGGAGGTTAAAAGTCTCACACCAAAGTGTCAACAGGGTTAGGTCCTCCTGGGGGCAGTGAGAGAAGAATGTGTTCCAGGCCTACCTTGACCTGTGGATGGAAGTCTTCTCCCTGAGTCTCTTCAGATGGTATTCTCCCTGTGTACTTGTGTGCCTGTGTCCAAATTTCTCCTTTGTATAAGAGCACCAGTCATTATATTTGGCCCCTGCCTTACTTCCAGTGTGATAACATCTTATCTAATTAGAACCTAAACAACCTCATGACCAAAAGGCAGTTTGACATCATCTTAACTAATTTAGAACCAAAACAACCTCATGACCAAAAGAGATTATGTTGAGAGGTATTAGTAGTTAGGACCTCAACATATGAAGTTTTAGAATTCATTTGTTTTAGAACATCAATGCATAGCAGTATGTGTAATTTAAAAACAAATAACTTCATCATTTTGATATTTTTGTTATTATCTTCACGTGAATATTTGAGCTCCACGTTTTCAATCACTTTAGATTCCTCAAAATGGGGAAGCCAGGGCAAAGACAAAGATAAAGACATTATCTATTGCTATGTAACAAATGTAGTGACTTCAAAGAGCAAACATACATTATCTCACATTTTCTGTGGTCAGGAATCCAGCAGCAGTTTCCCAGATGCCTCTGGGCCAAGACCTCTTTCACAATTCCCCTTCAACCTTCAAGTTCCCTCTTGTGGCTGACGGCAAGGCTCAGCCCCTCCTTGGCTATGGCCCAGAGAGTCCTAACAACTAAGGCCTCACTGCAACTTAGGCCCACATGATGGTGTCTGGATTCCCTCAGAGCCGGGGAGCAAGAGAACTCACTGCGATGGAAGCTACAGTTGCTTTGTCGTCTCATCGGAGAAGTGCACTTCTGTTTCCTTTGTCATATTCCAGTCATCAAAAGCAAGTCAGCAGGTCTAGCCCACACAGTGGGAGGGGATTACACGAGGGCATAAAAGAGGCAGGGCTCCTTCCGTTCCATCTCAGAGGCTGTCTGCCACAGAGAAAACAGGGAAATGGAAAGAGGGAGAGCTAGGGAGAAGCAGACAGGAAGGGTAGAGGATGGCTTATCGATTTTGATATGGAACAAGTAGACACATTTTGTTTCAGTTGTGAATTACGTATAAGAGTTACGGAATGAACGCTGACGATCATTCGTTTTATTTTTAGGTATATTTGATTTTGAGTGGCATTGTTATAGTTCAGTTTGCACACAGGCATGCCTGATTGGTTTACTTTGGTAACTATAGTGGATTTATTCTGAGATTGCCAAAGTAACCCAGGGCTTATGGCTGCCGGGTCCTCTGAGTCACCAGTAAACACCTCTGACTGCTGGCTGACCTCCTATGGACTTTCCAAGCCTGGGTGGGTGGATACTACAAACTCCTCAGGGAGGTGTTCTTGTTGCACAGCCATTTATAAAAGGAAGCTCTGAAACAAAAGTTGAGACTGGAATGAGTTACTAGGAGGCTTAAAAATTACTTCTTTGACCTGCTTAGGGACAAAAGTATTAAATAAGAGCCTCCCATTGAGTTCCCAGTTCTACTTGTAAAGAGCTTAGCGGGCATCTAGCCCATCTCACAAGAACAAAGCTAAACCACTGAAAATCAACAACTTGTCTTAGATGCATCAGAGAAGTGAGGTCACAGGACAAACTGCCACTCCCAGTATTGGTGAGATAAAACACAGAGGATAAGAACTTACTGGTGGGAGAGTCCCCCAGGGCTGGAGCCAGGACCTCAGGGTCACTTGAGCTATAATTGATGAATTATGGAAGCTCAGCGTGGACAACCTTGAGAGTTCTGCTCTGTCCTGCTTAACAAAAGCCTGCCCTCAAAGAAAAATATTTTACCAGGGCCTAACCTGCCTGGATAAAGAAAAAACTCTAACATTTAGCATGGGGGAAGGAAACATCCCAGCTCTAGCAAGCACTCTCTGTCTGGCTTGTTCTTATGCCAACTAAGGACCAAAGAAAAAAAGCCAAGTGAAGATCCCAGAGGGACAGGCTCACTAAAAGACTGAGACCAAATCATAGGATCCTAGAGCCCTCCCCCATCCTCCCCTTCATTACCACCACATCCATCTAGCATTTCTGGTCTACCTAGCAAGAGTAGATGTGAAGGTGAAATACTGCAGTTCTTGCTGTCCGGTATCATCAGCTGGACCTGGGACTGGGAAACTGAGTTGCCTGGTCCCTAAAGCCACGGCATCAACTTTGATGCACTTTCCGCAACCTGCCAGGCTCTCCAAATGCAGTCCTTCTGCTCATACAGAGTAGATACTGGAGGGATTGCCTCCAAAAAAACCCAAAAAACAAAAAACTTTGCAGACAAAAGTCCTAATAGCTCTAGACTTCTCCTCCAAACAAACCAGCAAAGTGGAGCAGTTTGTTTTTTGTAAGGAAAATGTGACATCCCACTGCCTAGAGTAGGGACAAGATCCATGCTCTTCTGGACTTTGCTGACAGCACAGTGATGACACCAACCTGGGTAGCAGGCCACAAAAGGAACTCAGAAACAAGTCCTGCCTAGCTCAAGCAGAGAGAACTGGAAATGAGGGGGAAGAGGGATTGGGTGGAATGCGCACTGCCTGATGTCCTTCACCTGGTGAACTTGCAAGAGCCACGTGCACACATGTGTGTATGTGATAACAGGTTAGAAATCTGCCTCCCCATTGCTACTTAACACATATGCCTATAATTAATATTTTGTGGTTACAACACCATGTCAGTTCTCTTGTTGACATTAATCTGGCTGATAAAGTATTTGGAAAGACTCTAAAACCATTTCTCCTCTGCTTTCACACCACAGCAATCAACTCAGAAGATGTCTGTGACCCCAAAATAGGTGAGGATTTCTCCCCACAAGAAACCAAACGGTCAGTTCTGCAGCTGACACCAGCTGAGTGCCCTCCGATTCAGCTCCAATACTATTTACCAGAGCCAGCACAGATTTCCCAGGTTAAGGGGTCAGCCCCACAAGACTGTCCCACCTTCCCCTCTGTGACAAGTCCAGGCCTCTGGAACTCCTGATGGACTGGCTTAAAGCTGAGATTCCAACAACCTCCTCTCTGGGTTAGATGGATTTGCTGGAGCAGCTCACAGATCTCAAGGCAACACTTATGTCTGCCAGTTTACTATTGTAAAAAATTACAAAGGATATTGATGAAGAAATGTATGGGGGTGGAATGGAGGCAGGGGCGAGGAGATCCCGTTGCCACCTCCCAGGACTCTCCACATGTTCAGCTCTCTGGAATTTCTTAGCTCTGTTTTCTTGGGTTTGAATGGAGGCATCATTACACAGACATGATTGACAGCTGTATAGAAGTGTGATTTGTCAAAAAGGATACAATCTCATACTAATAGACCCAATAAAACGAGTGGGGAAACCCAGTAAGTCCTGTCAGTTCAGATTCTTTTGGGGCTGACCGCAAAGCATTCATTCTCCTAAGGTACTGGGCAGGACATTCCTTGGAATGAGGGTCTTTTGATTGGATTAGAGTCCTGCCTTGGGCAAATGAAAGAAAGATAAGAGAAGGTCAGAGGGAGATTCTGTTTCCTGAGACCTAAAGCACCCAAACATTATAACAAAAGACTGTAAGGAGCCGGGCATGGTAGTGCATGCCTGTAGTTCTAGCTACTCAGAAGGCTGAGGCAGAAGGATCACCGGAGCCCAGCAGGTCAAGGCTGCGGTCGGGAGCGGCCACTGCACTCCAGTCTGGGTGACAGAGTGAGACTCCAACTCAAAAAAAAAAAAAAAAGACTGTAA